GCTGCGTGGTCACTTCGTCTTGCTTAGGAGGCCCGGTCCATCGCTTTCCAGCGCCTTCCAAGCTCGCTCACCGCCAGTTGCTGATTGGCTGGCGGGACTGCAGCCGATTATTAATGTTCTGCCATCATACCCGCCGTCAGGTCACGAGACTCTCTTGGAAACGCTGCTGACTCAGCTGCCCCAAGCTTTGCCGCCGTCTTTATCGCCAACAAAGCCGATCTCAGCAAGAAACAACAACAACCGCAAACCACCATCATCACCATCAAGCGGTGTCTTTTTCTTCCTCCTCTTCTTCTCAACTCCTACCGCTTGCCATTCTTACTCTCTGCATCTCCAGAAGAAGGTCTTTCCCAGAAACAACGTGGTAAGCTTCAAATCTCGTTGCCTATTACTTGACTTGTTAGCTAACCTCCCACCAGCAGACTAGCTCTGACCCAGAGCTTCCGAGGCCGTTTTTCCACTATCACATAGATTTTCAATTTCGATCACAGTACTCTCAGGATGTCTCATGATCCGGAGCACAAGCCCAAGGCTAACTTGAAGTGAGTCGGCTGTTTGTTGACATATCCATGGTTAATGAGGTCCAATCTAACATCTGGCCTTCTTCCGTTGATAGTGACCCTTCAGGTGCCGAAAAACATGAGGTAAGGTCTCGGATATATTTTTTCTGAATATTCAGTGTCCTAACCCACAAATAGGAGCTTGACACTTCGACTGCTATCCTCAAGAAGAAGAAGAAGCCAAACTCGTTGATGTGAGTAATATATCGGCAACCCATTTACCTGCTAGGAGAAATACAGAGCTCAGTTCTAACTGATTTTCAGTGTCACTGATGCCGTCAACGATGACAACTCTGTTATTGCACTTTCAAACAACACCATGGAGACTCTCCAACTCTTCCGTGGTGACACCGTCCTAGTAAAGGGCAAGATGCGAAGAGACACTGTCTTGATCGTACTGGCAGATGATGATCTCGATGATGGCAGTGTTCGTCTCAACAGAGTTGTAAGACATAACCTAAGGGTTAAGCATGGAGACGTCGTCACTGTTCACCCTTGCCCAGATATCAAATACGTATGTTAATGCTCGGCATCTATAAAGTGAACAGGGACAAATACTGATGTTCCAACAGGCTAAACGTATTGCCGTTCTACCCATTGCTGATACCGTCGAAGGCCTTACCGGGTCCTTGTTCGACGTTTTCCTTGCTCCATACTTCCGCGAGGCCTACCGACCAGTCCGACAAGGTGACCTCTTCACTGTCCGTGGTGGTATGAGACAAGTTGAATTCAAAGTAGTGGAGGTCGACCCCCCAGAATACGGAATCGTCGCCCAAGACACTGTCATTCACTGTGAGGGTGAGCCAATCCAGCGAGAAGATGAGGAAGGTAACCTCAACGATGTTGGATATGACGACATTGGTGGATGCAGAAAGCAAATGGCTCAGATTCGTGAGCTTGTTGAACTGCCACTCCGTCACCCCCAACTCTTCAAGTCAATCGGTATCAAGCCTCCTCGAGGTATTCTCATGTTCGGTCCTCCCGGTACAGGTAAAACTCTGATGGCCCGTGCCGTTGCCAATGAGACTGGTGCTTTCTTCTTCCTCATCAACGGTCCCGAGATTATGTCAAAGATGGCCGGTGAATCTGAATCCAACTTGCGAAAGGCTTTCGAAGAAGCTGAGAAGAACTCTCCCGCTATCATTTTCATTGACGAGATTGATTCCATTGCTCCTAAGCGTGAGAAGACAAACGGAGAAGTTGAGCGTCGCGTTGTTTCTCAGCTCTTGACTCTCATGGATGGCATGAAGGCTCGTTCAAACATCGTTGTTATGGCAGCCACTAACCGTCCTAACTCCATTGACCCTGCACTCCGACGTTTCGGCCGTTTCGATCGTGAAGTCGATATTGGCATTCCTGACCCAACTGGTCGTCTTGAGATTCTTCAAATCCACACCAAGAACATGAAGCTTGGTGAGGATGTTGATCTTGAATCAATTGCTGCCGAAACCCACGGTTACGTCGGCTCTGATATTGCATCCCTCTGCTCTGAAGCTGCTATGCAGCAGATCCGTGAAAAGATGGACCTCATTGATCTTGATGAAGACACTATCGATGCCGAAGTCCTTGATTCTCTTGGTGTCACAATGGAAAACTTCCGCTTTGCCCTTGGTGTTTCCAACCCATCTGCCCTTCGCGAAGTTGCCGTTGTCGAGGTTCCAAATGTTCGCTGGGACGATATCGGTGGTCTCGAGGAGGTCAAGCGCGAGCTTATCGAGAGCGTCCAGTACCCAGTCGACCATCCCGAGAAGTTCCTCAAGTTTGGTCTTTCCCCATCAAAGGGTGTCCTTTTCTACGGACCTCCTGGTACTGGTAAAACGCTACTTGCCAAAGCTGTTGCAAATGAGTGCGCTGCCAACTTCATCTCTGTTAAGGGACCTGAGCTATTGAGCATGTGGTTCGGTGAATCTGAGAGCAATATCCGCGATATTTTCGACAAGGCCCGTGCTGCAGCTCCTTGTGTTGTTTTCCTTGACGAACTGGATTCTATTGCCAAGTCCCGAGGTGCTTCCTCTGGAGATGCCGGCGGTGCTTCTGACCGTGTTGTTAACCAGTTGCTCACGGAAATGGACGGAATGACTTCAAAGAAGAACGTTTTCGTCATCGGCGCCACTAACCGACCTGAGCAGCTTGACAATGCTCTCTGCCGTCCCGGTCGTCTCGACACACTCGTCTACGTCCCCCTACCCAACGAGCCAGAGCGTACTGCTATCCTCAAGGCCCAGCTCCGCAAGACCCCAGTTGCCAGCGATGTGGACCTTGCTTACATAGCCTCCAAGACTCATGGCTTCTCTGGTGCGGATCTTGGATTCGTTACTCAACGTGCTGTCAAGTTGGCCATCAAGGAGTCAATTGCAACTGCTATTCGAAGAACCAAGGAGCGTGAAGCAGCAGGTGAAGATGCGATGGAGGACGATATTGATGACGAGGATCCAGTTCCTGAACTCACCAAGGCTCACTTTGAGGAAGCCATGAAGGATGCTCGACGCTCCGTCACCGACACCGAGATCCGACGATACGAAGCCTTTGCGCAGAGCATGAAGAACACCGGCAGCAACTTTTTCAAGTTCCCTACTGATGGAATTAGTGCCGGTGAGACCGGATTTGGTGATGCTGGAAACGACGACAGCCTTTATGACTAAAATGTAACCGGGGTTTGTTGTCCCTCTAGCTTTATCCAACTTTGACTCGTGTTCTTTATTCTCATTTGGTATCTGGTTGCCCGAAAAAGCAGCGTTACTCAAAGGATTCCTTTAATTGCAAGAGGAGTAGGAGAACCAGGGGGTTTTTGTGGTTTGTTCGAGATTGGACCCGCGGTCTCCATGCTTTTACTACATACATCTCATAGTGCCTTGACTCCCTATCCGTTTACCTAGTTGCCCCTTGAATGTCAACATAAAGATTTCATAATGGTATATGACTTATGAACAGTCTTTCAATTCTATGTAGACTATCTTGCGAGATTTTCCGTAACACCACTGTATCGAGTTTCAGGGGTGTCGACTAAGAGCAAACAACCAAATCTCACCATGGACAGGCAGCTAATAAACAACCGCTTTTGCTGGAAGAGAGCAGTGAATTTTCTAGTGAGAACTGATTGCTCTTTCTATTCAATCTGTTTGTTTTAGAGCCGCTCTTGTTAGTTGAACCAACGGACCTCGTAGCTTCCATTGTCCTAGTGAAAATATCACGGAGATTATAGAATCGACAAGGCAGCTCCAGTTACTAGAAAGCAACAATATCAAAGCCGCCCATGGCGATTGTCTCCTATTGAGTACCGATCCCTATCCAGGGTCTGGTATCTTCTGCCATCTATGGCACCCGAGAAATGAGGCCTTATATATAGGGGCCAGGCGACCAGTACCAAGGTGCCGTCTTCTTCACTGTAAGGAGTATCCAAGGCATATACATAGCTGCAGGAAGAGCACACTTGTCAAAAGGAGAACTGCTAAGGAAGGAAAAATAGAAATGCCTATGAAAGCCTGTCAAAGCCAATATGGCAAGCTTTCCTACCTCTCGAGGCTCCTAGCTTCTGCAAACAACTTGCTGCCCCCTAATCCATACAACGCAGCAAACAAGATCATTGACTATTGCTTGAACAAGGGTGCAAAGGAAGAAGAGTCAACACCCAAGTCGCCAGGTCCTCCACAGATCCTTTCTCATTTGATGTGGACCATGGGCGGCGGGCTGGGAGTTAGCCGGCTGGTAGCACTGGACCACTACCCCCGAGAGTATCGTCGAGCTCTCAAAAACACTCTAAGCCAACAGCAGCTCACAGCCTACTGCAAAAAGACAATACCACTGTTTGTCTTCGGGCCTCTCATGTTGCCATCCTTCCTGAAGAGCATGACGGACGCAGACGCACATATGGATCAGGCCCAGTACATGAGCCAGGGGAGTCTCCTGGGCCACAAGCTGTACTTGTTTGAAGGGAGTGAGCTTCCCCTGGTAATGCCCTCCAGTGAACCAGGGGACTATGTGGATGGAATGCTGATATTTAACCTCACGGCTGCACGACGAGGTTGGATACACGAGCTCGAAGCATCGAATGAGGTAGAGATGAGGAATGTGCGTGTAGAGATTGTGCTGGATGACGGCAGCCTATCGACACTAGACACAGCAGCCTTTGTGTGGACTGGAAGGGAGGATATTGGCATTACCCCGGCTTTGGCAACCCAGTGGAGGATCGATAAGTTCCTTGCAAGCCCCTGGTATGAGAGAACCACTACCGGATATGAATCATGCTAGGTCTGAGCAGGAGACTTTGAACTGGGTTGTTAGATCGGGTAAGCTCTTCAACAATAGTCCTCAGGTGAAATACATGACATGTGCTAATCCACTTCTAGTGACTGGTAATATCAAAAGGGAGGAAAGATCTGAAACTGGAGTCACTAGGGTTTTGGGTATCTTTGGGAATCACTTTCACATATTTGGCAGTCCCTAAGATATAGTTAAACCCCCTTTTATCCTAATATCAACTGTCATTATCTCAACAGGGCCTTTCCGTCTGAACTTCACCAAACCCCCTTCTCTAAGCACAAAGCCAGAGGTATCATAATACTTTATGCTAAAACCACCTTGAATCCAGCTTTTGAGCCTAGACAAGGCAGTATGTACTTCTGTAGCCTGTCTATGGAGTGTCTTTAAGGGTGCAAGGTAGCAGGTAGCAAGTCCAATAGACCCACCCCTTTCCTGTGAACCATGCCCTCCCATATCAAAGGCACCACTAGAAGTGCAGACAGGCATGAGCATAGATATAGATAGCCATAGAGACAAAGCCACAGATATAGAGACAGAGACAGAGAGAATGCGCAGCATGAAGAGGACGTCCTGCTGGCGACTAAGCAGGCGCCGAGCAGGCACTTCTTTTTCTCCTTTTGTTTTCTTTTCTTTCTTCTCCTTATCTTCTTTCTGTCTTCTGAGCCTGCAGACTCTTCTTTTTTCACTTGCCAGGCAAACAGCTGGATGAAGCTGTGACTCTCCTCTGCCTTCAAGCTGCACCATCAGAGCCGGTCGAGCTCTTGCTTCTACGAAAGGTACGGATGGCATCCACGGAGGCCGAGTCTCAAGTCCCCCCAGGGACCACAGAAGAGCGCTCGAGCTGACCAGATTGATAGACAGACGCCGTTTTATTGACTCGAGACGCCTAAGAGATACTAAAAAAATCTCTATATTTAAGGTGAGTCAGGGCCGTCTTTCTCCCTCCCTGTCTGTCACACACCTAACCCGCAGAATTGGTATAGTGGTGCTGGCTGCTGACGGTGACAGGGTATCATCAAGATTGACTTCATAAAAATCAATTCAGCCACCAAGGGAGCAGAATTGAAAAAAAAAAAAAAAAGGTATGTCCTGAAGTCCATTGATGCCTGTTTGACTTAAGCTAACGCAAAAGCAGTTGATAAGATGAGCACTGCAAACTTTGACTGGGGGTTGGTCGGTATTATGGCCGAGGTGGACGACGTAGTCCTCCACCAACCCAATCAACCATGGCCTAACAGTGCTTTTGTGCTGGGAGGCGGGATGTTTGCGAGTGATGCCAATCTTTTCGCTGTCTTCAATACTCGAGAGCACATAATCGAGGAGTTAACGAGGCTCTTGCAGCAAATCCAGTCTCTGCGTGTTCAATCACGTCTGCTGTTGGAACAGCCCGTCCCTGTCGGGTTTTTAGACGTTGTTGCGGCTCAGCTTATGCCCCAATGGACAGCACGGGACATGCCATCTCCTATTAGGCAGCTCGTCGAAACCGTGTCATATCAGGCTGCCAGCATCGGCATCCTGAATCTCCCTTTTCCAACACGTGAAGCCATCTATAGGTTGGTGCTCGATACCAAGTACACGATGAAACAATCCATCCACCCCGACTGGGTAACCGCAGAGGTCATTGACGACACGGCGTCTTCGGATATCCAAACCGCATGGATCTGGTCAAGATGCCCACGCGTCACGAAATATAACATTCATCCTGCAATTTTGCGAGTTAGCCGCCAGATTTATCATGAGACGGTCATGGTTTTGGGCCGCCAGAACCTGTGGGTTGTTGTAAGCACATCGGATACTCGGATTGCTCAAGGCTTGACGGAGATGGGCGCCGCCCTCCCAATTCCGCCTAATTGGAGGGGCCTTGGCCTGCCTGGATACTCTCCGTACGTTTACCATGTGCCAATTGAGATGCATGTCGAAGAAAACCCAAACGTTGCCTTGGCTGAGCAGCAGTTTTTTGTCATGGCCCTGGACTGCGTGTGGGACCTGGTCGCCTTAATGATTTCATACAGCAGCACCCCTTGGTCCCTGACTGTCCGGCTCAATGAGACCACTTTCTTCAGTCATCAACAGAAGCTCGACTGCATCGCCCGAATTGTCTATATGCTGGAGCCGCTAAGACTCCTCGGGGAGGATGACTACTCCCGCACTGTGACCTTTTGGTTCCAGAACCGTATTGCTGGCGATAGGATGATCCGACTGAACCGCCTGCAAAACAGATTCAGCGCTATCGAGCTGATCGGTATGCTGCGGGAGTACCTAGACCCGTTCAACGCGAATCTTTGGCAGATCAACTGGGCCAAGGAAGACTTAAAGATGGCCGAATGGGGCTTTTTCTTCATCCATGCCATGAACAAGTACGGCGCCAACGAGCAATATGGACGGATGTGGAGAGACACCCTGTGCATCGGCCACGCCCGTCTCATGATTATCCGCCTGGCGCAGGGTAAGCTGATCCTGGCCAAGCACCATGCCCAGCGCGCCGACGAAGTTGCTGAGTTGCATCAAGTGACGCTCTGGTGGTGCAAGCCTCTGATAAGCCGTATCACTGGGTGGGATGATGAAATTCCCAACAGAGACACCATCGACGAGGCTCTTCGCGCCATCTGGTGCCTGTGCTGGAACGAGCGCAAGAGTTGGTTCCATCTGCTGTGGCAGCATTATAAAGGTGCTGAGCATGAAGCACATGGGACCATCGTGTACGCCGTCCACCTGCTCGAGGGTATCAGATTGATCCTGGCCAACACAAACGAAGCCAACGACTTGAAGAAGCAGGCGAAGGTATTCAACAACCTCATGTGTATTCAGGGGACGGGTTTGAACGATGGCTGCACTCCAGAGCAGAGAGATTATCACAATCTGACAACGAGAAGTGTGATAAATGACAGCAGACTGCCTGATAGTGTCCAACAGCAGAGCATAGAGGAAGGTGTGATGCTTTGGCGTCTCATCGAGTGAGCTTAAGCTTCAATATTGGCCAAATTTTGGTTGAAGTTTGAAAGCCTTTGAGATCTCAAAATTCGAATGGAACAATCAATACTTCGGAATCTAACGACTGGAATGAATAAACAGCAGCACTGAGAAAATGAGAAACGACC